AAAATATATCGCTGCTGACAAGCAATTATTTGGTTTTGAATAGTGGAGAATATATTTGCCACCGGGACACAGAACAGTTCATCATTGATGAGACAATGGAAAGCAGAAGCTGTGCACAACTGTGTTGGAACAGTATAAATGATGCGAATCCATCGGACAGGAGAGGTTCCACACAAGACGTGGGTACATTTGTTGTTCAGTTGATAGCTGGTCAGACCGCTTTGCACTCTGTCCCTAACTGGTATAGCACCGTATTGTTACAAGCCTATTGCCAGTCGCAATCCTAAAGTTTTGATCGGTGTGTACAAAGCATGGACTCTGTTTGGTTTTGTTGATCGTCAGTTATCTGGTTGACATGTGTAACGAGGTCAACCAGTGCACAATGTGGATAAAATATCAAATGTACCTATCATACAATCACTCACCATCCACCTTTTCCTTATCCAGGTTTGTTTTCCAAAACACAATTCGACCTTCAGCATAAAAATCAGTATAACAATCTCATTATCTGTGACAAAAATGAATACTTTAAAGGAAATATTAGTAATTATTCGGTTAATTTGTTTTTTCCGCAGATTAGCAACACTGAATTATCAGAATTAGTAGTGCAGAAGAAAACATAATTTCAAGGTTACCGTGTCCTTTAAAACAGATAGATTTTTACCTTGTCTAACGAAAACTTGATTCACATCCAGAAGTAGTTCACATCCATCCACAATCATACGTTCAATCGACAGGTTCTTCCGTATATTCTCCGTTTCGCTCACTTCATCGTGCATAATCTGTTTCAATTGGAGGAGACGGGGTAGCGGCGTGTGTTGAGGATAGGGTGGAATTGCAGAGAGAAAGGCGATAGCTAGGATAAGGCGTTAATAACAGTTACAGAGAAGAGAATAAATTTAACAATACACTGAGAGGTCTTATTATCGCCACATGTTTTTTCAACCATTATCCAGGTTCATGTAAAACGGTCTATTGGTAGTACGAAAACGCTGTGTAGAATGAAAAAGCTTCCTGACTGTAATTATAAGGAATCATTGATACACGGGTTTGATAAGCAAATATTGGGTCCTCGGTGAGCCCTCGAGGTTTTCAACTAGGTGATACTGGTCCGGGTTTTTTCTTGTGGTCGAATAAGCTTTTTTTTGTCTACGGGCTATACGATAGATTTGTTTGCCAGCTAGGAAAATGAAGCATTTTGAGCTGTTAGTCGAAGCTTAATTCTAAATCACTGACGATTGAAGTATATTCATAGTATAATTAGGACATTATTCATTTAGGACTTCTCTTTGTGTACAGTGGACGATAGATAAAACATAATCCGCTAGCTGGATAGAAATCTCGACCAATTAAATTTTATTCCGGTTCCTTAAAAATTGTGCCGAAACTGAAGGCATTGGTGGAATACTAACCCGCGCATGGACCCCGCCATGCGTGGGATCGAATTATCGCGGGGCTACTGAACTCTGACAATTGAAACGAAAAACTTTAAACTGCAAAACATAATTAAACAAAATATGTACGTATACATTTAGTTCGGCGTGATATCTCCACATCTAGGCTAGGAAAGATTAACTTAGGTCCAAAGTGTGCATTCTCACCACAACCACGAATTAAATGGTATGCATCTAGTCACAAGATATTGATTACATGGACAGAGAGTCTTAGTGAGTAGATTTAAGTCACTTTAAATTTCTTGACTCGAGTCGCCTAGGTCAGCTCAATTGAGGGGTGATGCGAGGAGTACCATCTTGTATCCACTCAGTTATCGAGCACAGTAACTTTTTCCATCACTCAGTATAATTGTCTTGATATGTTTTAGCTTCGTTTTGGTGGACTGATGATGAGACCCAAACAGGTCAAAACAGCTGTACGGTGCTTTCAAGCTTTTCAGTTCACGCTTCACTTGCATTTTACACGATGAATTCCCCTTATCGGACTGAACTGAACCGACAGTCACAACAAAGCTGCGTGACGGCATGGAATTGGAAAATTTCAATTATCACGCATGAAGTTTTGCAAACAGTCTCAAAGTTTAACTTGCACAGCTTTATGTATACGTATATTGAGAGGATTGAACGTGTGATTGTCAACTGATCGCGACCTTTACTGCTTGCCAGTAAACGAGACATGAACTTTATTTGAGAACTCACAAAAGGATGGACGGATGGAGGTGGATCGACTTACTGCTAGAATTGGATCTTGGGGACGCTACGCGTACGGGTTTCACTGGTGTGTGGACCAGAAACGTGGTAAGGACAGCTTGATTCCAAATTCGATATTTTGTCAAAACTGATGGGAGCCAAGGCAATATTTATGTATCATAAACCACCAAGTTTGACTTATTCTGCGGACCAAGGGGTAATGTTTCATCCAGTTAGTTTGCTCATCAGTTTCTTTCATAAACCTAACAGAGACAGTTAGATGAATAAACGTCTTGTGCAGTGATCTCCAACTCCCCGTATAATGAGCTATAATGGTGACCATAGTGTGAATATTGCAGTGTAACAGCTGATCTGGTTGGTTCATATTGGGGAAAATGTATTGCTATTTATTTCGTAAGGAACTGATTTTCAAAACCAAGTAGTATTCGGTCTGGTATGCATACGTTCAAATATATACATACATGCATACAAAAATACATATTTATGAGGCACAATAACAGATATATTAGAGCCCCGGAACCTATTTCCATTAAACAGCTTCGACGCTTCGATAGTTTAGCCAATTTCTTCAGGCGCTTGTACCCAAATGAATAAAACAGCAGTTCCACACGGGCTTAGTATGCTGCAGTCTTAAAACGTTTACTTCCCCGAAAAGGCTCTCCGAGTTTTCAGTGAAATAAACGGATTATCTCTATTACAGCTGCAGTTACACATCACATTACCGAGACACATTTGGCATTCTCCACAGACACATCCAACGTAGCCTTAAGTGTTGTTTGCAGAAACGTATAGGTGAAGGGTTGCAATCTCTGGCAGTTTTCTCGAAAGGGACTAAACCGGAAGAGTTTCATCACAATACCTATCTGACCGTTTATCTGACCATTTCACCATATGCTAGATGATTACCGTTTCAGTCTCTTCATTTACCACAAACCAATCATTTTTGCGGCACGCGTTTACTCAGATAAATATTTTTCCCGCCAGTCAAATCAACTAGATCGTTAGTTTTCCGACATTTAACTAAGCCGATTGACTGTAACTGGGCCCACGGGAATAGTCAGAACATTCCTCTCCTGATTGACTACATGGAACCTGCATTGTGATGCCTGCCTCTGCCGTCAGATTTCGTTGCACGATTAGTACAACTTTTCTCTTTCAAAAGTGCTTCGACTAGTTAACTTGCTTCAAGCTGCGATCATATTACCGTTACACCTTTTGATAATTTCGATTCTGCTGGTGGTACTCCATCAACTTGTTCAAGATGCACAACTTCATGACACACACGAGTCGTAGCGTCCCCCTCAGTCGGTTCGGAATAGTTTGGTTTATTCACTACTTTGCGGGGATCTGATATATATATATGTATATATATATATATATGTACATTGTTCGCCTCTGAAATGTATCTGATCGACATGCCGTCAATGGATGGATGCATTCGTTAAATCGGTTTCTTTCATCATTGTCTGAACCAAGGATCCAGTGATAATGTCACGAACAGCTCGCAGATGGCTGCACCTGAGGGAGGTCAGGTCGCTATAATCCCGACATCTTAGGGAAAAAACCCAACAGTGACATGAATAGCGTTATCGGAATTTCCTTAGTAGTTGCGCGTGTATCTTTTTGTTACGGCAGTAGATAGTTGTCCAGAAAAGCCCCCAGTTCGCTTACAGATTTAGGATTCGCGGACGCCTGTTGACTTGTGACTGTTTTCATTATATGCTCAGCCGAATCATGATAATAAGTATGCCACGATGCTCTCCGTAGATATCGACGTCCAATGATATCAATATAAGCTTGCATTGAACTGGGAACCATTGGTTGTGACATACAGTAAGAACATCCATCGGTTACCACAGTTCATGGAGGGGTCAAGCTCTATATCAATGGGCGATTACATTCACCGTGACCCCCACTAAGTTTTGATTCTCCAATTGTGTAAGAAAATTCGTGCAGCGCGGTGTTCAAACTGTGATACTTTTGATTCGTCATATACTCATAAAATCCATCATCTCTCCACAGCATGAAGTAGAACCAGACGGATCTCTGTATGATCCAGTAAACAGTTAGAGGAAACGACTACATTCAATGAAGCAACATTTTGGCAAAAGCTATCCGTTCGGCATTTACAAAGCCACCCTATGGGGATGAAACAATTCAGTAATAACGAAAACCGGAGTATCAACTCAACTGCGAATGCCGTTTAAACTGCTCAACCACCTAATCCACCTCGCTGTGCATTTTCCACCCTGATTCCTGAAACATCCACCCCATTTTATTGGATTACTGGCAAGTTTGACACTAAATTAGGCTCCCAAAAATGATCTTCTCGTTCAAGCGACCTTTACTCACACATTCCTCAAGCAATCAATTGTCACTTCCACACAACTCAACCAACTGGTATCTTATCAAGGCAATCAATAACTAATTATTCATTTTCACTTAGCCAGTGAGATAACTACCATGAAATTATTAACTATTAATTATTATTAACTATTCGTTGTCTAGCAAGCAAGGTTTTCCATTTTCATCACTGGTCGCTTCGGCTGACCTCAGTAATTGTCACACGTCCTCGGCTTACTTTCTGGTAAGTGATAATGACTCATTGGGAAATGATGTGTCAACCAAAAATCTGCTATGGACGGACGACACTATCGTAACGTGATTGTGCTTGCAAACTCGGCATCGGTGAAAGAACATCAGTAGGAAGATATGCATTGCCTATCGCGGTTACATTCACTGCACACCAGTGAGTTGGTACAAAAAAGCACTTTACTCCATTAGGAGAGACGTGCCTAATTGAATCTAAACCCCCCTTGAAATACTAATTCATCTAATCGTACACGTGGCTCGTCATGAGAAAAGAACAACCGAAAAATTACGCGTTTAGCAAATGAAAAGACCCGTGTTGTTTAAACAAATCCATAATTCGGTCAGATTAGAATTCACACTCTGACGGAAACCATGGACTTATTCTGTGGATTTTGCCTGAGAATTGCTAAACTCTACACCCTCCAAATTGTGATCATTTTCTTGGAGACATGGCCTCAAAACTTGTCTGTTGGGCAATCCGACTGCTAGGGACTCTCGGGTTATTGGCCATAGGTGTAGTGACGTCCCCATTCCCGGGTGGTAATTCACGAGTTTCATTGTTAAACTTCTCCATTTCATGTTTGACAGTCAGCAGTCGACCGTGGAAAATTTTTCGATTCCAGACAGTATCTCTGTTGTGTTTTAAGTAAATGAAAGTAAAATATCAATATAAGCACCTACATTTTACGGAATGAACAATAAGGTAGATCTTTTGCGCTTTAAGGATCGATTGTTTCGGAAATTTCTAGAGAAAATCTGTTCAGTTAAAGTGCTGATAGGGACAATGTGAACGTCCCCAACCCTGATGACCCAGATAGATCTAGTGTAAATTGTGAAAAAGCACAGGATCTTCCGGCAAAGATCCTTTAAAGATCTGCGGTAGTGCCTTCTTTGTACCTGTGATGTTTTAGTATCTAAGTTAACTCCATAAATTTCCGTCGTAAGGATTACAGTAGTCGTATTTAACACTTCCCTCAAATGTGGTTGGGTCTGTTCACAATATTCAGATTCGCTTGAAATGTGCTAATTTTTGACCAAGCTGGTATAATGCTTTCCGGTAGTTAGCACAAAACACTTGTGAAAAACCAATATTACTCAGTAATTCATTCTCTATACGTTTACAATTTAAGTAGGTAATACTACAAAACAGGGTACGCAAACACAACATAAAGTCTAGGTCATCATTTGTCCTAGTAAACTTATCATGTTCATCTGTCTGGAGTTCACTCACTAACGACCTTTGACTGGCCAGACAAAGGATTCATTCGGTCCTGATCAATCACGACATGGAATTTAGAGGAACTGAACCAAACACATCTGGAGAGCGGAAGTCAGAGGTAAACTTCCCTATCCCGATCGCCTTGGCTGTAGCTATAGTACGCAATGGAACCTACATTCCGAAAATTGAAACACTGGGACTTCTTAAGTCATCGTATCAGGGTCGAATGAAAACACGTCGCGAAATGTTAATTAATATTTCGCGTAATCTCCATCGATGACGCATAACAGGCAGACACTTCCCTCACTACTGTCATGTAACATGTAATGGGTTTGGAATGTTTCCAACAAGGTCATAATCCTGGAGGCTAGTAATGCTGAGATGCACAAGGTGAGATGGATGCATTAAGCTCACAAAGATGGGCTGTGCTTTATCGTGTATAAGGCAAACGAAAAATGATCTGATCATCCGCCTTGTGACCGAGTGGGTATTATCCTTGCATTCTACATGTGAGGTCCCGAGTTGCATCCCCAGTTGGGTCTATGGATCCGCACTGCTGATGAGACCCAAACATGTCTAAACCCTTGTTCAGTGTTTCCTAGCTTTTCAGTTCACGTCTCATTTGCTCTTCACACGATGCATCTTGACCAATAATCAAACCAATGCCTGCACCACCATAATGAAACAAACATTGGTTTGGTAAATACTAGTGAGCTTTTTTCTAACTATACCAATCCCTGCTTATTTATACACGTCCGCTGACTAGGATTTACCAACCCAACGTGTTTATTTTATATCAGCGATTGAGGAGATGACGATTCCGTTGGTTGTTTCCATGGGTGGAAACGATGAATAACTTTGAAAGCGAAAACCCGAGTTTCTAGGTACCTGGTGTCGATTGAGTGCACTAAGATTGCACCAGTTATAGGTCCGGTCTGTCCGAGGCTGAGCCAGCGAGATCAATGCAATTTACTTCGGTCAGTCGTGACGTTCGACCAACATAAGATGCATTACAGACGCATCTGACCAAAATAAGCTCCTACATATGATTGGTACCAGCTGTGTTGAACTGTAAGATCTGTTTTCCGTATGCAGTCTGCCTTATCCATGTTTTCTGAAGACCTATTGAGAATTAATTACAAACTGTTTGTTCCAATTCTTTTGACGAGTACTTTTCAGTTGTGTGCATATATAGGGATCTGAATAGAACTGATGTGCAGATGATATTATTTGTATTCTAGACGGAGAAAACACCCAATCTTGGTTGGAAACAGAAAACGTAGTGTTTATTTTTAACTCTGATTCGAGAATAGAAATGAGAATGAGCCACTTGCAATTTACGGATACATAGCCTTATGTACAATATACTGTCTGGCTTGTGTCATACGAAAGATGCAAGAAGCAACCAAGGTGAGGTTAAATTTATTTTACTTATTTTATTAACTAAGGCACTAATTGCTTATGGTCGCCCAGTTGGCTTATGTTTAGCTTTTTTTATTCACTCCTATTAGGCTGGATTACTAACGCTCTATTTAGATGATCTGAAACGAATGCTTCAGCCCTTGTGACAATTTGCACATCGCATGAAGTTCAACCACGAGGAGAGTTCATATAACTGAACGGAGTTGGCTAGTACAAATCATTTCAGCATACTTGGAAAGTCCTATCAGTCGAAAAATAATTAAAGTGATTGATGGTTAAGTGGGATCTGAGTTTTTTTCGGCGAGACATATTATAAAACTAGGAACTAAGGCGAAACGAGAGTGAAATTAATTTACATGTCCTCTGCGCCTAGATTCTGTGCCTGAATGACTCCACCGTGACATCAGCTTAGTGCCATCTTCGAACCTCTCAATGTTAGAGTCACACTGGACACAGTATTAATTTTCCAATTAAGGAGCTGTCTATTTAGGCTAGTTGACTTTGTACCATTAGGAATACAGCTGAATCTTTTGAATGGAAAATTTAAAAGGACTTGATCTTCATCGAGTTTTATTCCAAGCATATAATGAATAAAACTTATATTGTGTAAATATATATCTATCCATTTCCGTACTAAATAGGCCGGATAATCTGAACCCGAATCTCTATTCACTGGAACCACAACTCAATTTTCCTCATTTTTCAATTGCGTTTACCTCAAGTGAAATTTAACTGAACAGTGATTAAACTGTTCAATACACGTTACACGTAATCACATTTAGATCCAGGTGGTTTGATTGCGTGAACCGCTTCGGTTTGTCAAACTGGCCTTTCATAATTATCTATTTAAGATTTTTTACCCAAACTGCAACATCTGTTGATTATATCAGCGAAAGTCATAGATTGAGTGCTTGGATGCAGTTGTTGTGGATTTTGTATAAACCTTAACAGGAGGTAAATTAAATACACATTCGTATAATATTAAACCAGTTTTAGGTCGTAGTGTATTGAAATAAAACAGTCATTACTATTTCATAAAATGGAATGGTTTTATTCAACGGACAAGGAACGCTGGACAGTTGTTTCATCGTTTCCAGGACTCATTGACATGGTAGTAATGTTCTTGTATCATTGCCAGGACTTAAACCACAAAGATCCAGGTCTAAAGGCCGAAACCCTTATCCATGAGCTGCACTATCAACAGTTACCCAATGGGGGATTCATATCTATACGAACTGAGCTTGCATTTATCGTGCATCATTTAGGCGATTGCACAGATACCATTAGCTGTGTAATGCTATTTGAGTATGGGATTAATAAAATGCTTTCCAGTGTGGGGAATAAACTGTCTCATATGGAGTGAGATCCCTAAACGAACAACCTTACGTAGAACCTGGCTTTTGTGCAATCGAATGGAAAATTTCCAATTCATGTGTCAATAGTATTCGGCTGCAGGGATGACAGTTTGACCATGCTTACTGATCAAACGTAAAGGAACAGGGAGGGGGGTGGCTGGGGTGAGGAGAGGGTTACCTCAGAGTGGAAGACTCTTGTCCAAAATGATCACTAGGTTGAGCATAATATTGAACCAATAGTCTGAGATTTGGACACTTCATTTTACTGCATTAGTTCTTCTTACAAACGGTGATATGCATCAGTTGGATTATAATTATCAAGTTAGCTGTTCACTGTGGTTATGACGAAGCTAGCAAGACCGAATATTGAGCGGACAGTCTTACCATTGTCACTGGCGATTTTTGGCATTGGGGTCATAAGTGTTAGGCGTTCCAATCCTTCAGTAGACCCAGTGCTGACTAACTTAACGAATTTGGACAGACATGGTGTTTCTGTTACATTCGGTCCTACTTATAGGTTCTCTACGTGCCCGTGGATTGCAATGCACAGAACGAACTGAATGTCGACTATCAAACTGGATAAGGTAACGTATCTGAGGAAGAAAGATCCGAACAAGCAATTATGCGTCGCTTATTAAGCTCAGAATAACACTGACACGATCAATGCCCTGCGTTTAACCCCAAGATAGATGTTTCGATACATTAGGGCTTTAATCAGCCATCAGTGCGATCAAAATGTCTTTGTGATGCAACTGGCTTTGTCTTGGTCATCTAGACATACATTCATTCGTCAGTGGTTACTAATTGACTAAGCTCATTGAAATGAACATGTATGTAAATTTCTGTGGACAGAAAATCAACATTCTCACTCTGCGCATGCAGTGCAAACCAGGTTCAATCTACATGGGGATTTCCGTATAGACTCAGGGTCTTCCATAAGTAGTTGTATGTCACTGACATTCTAACATCTGTCAATTTTTTCAGTCGTGAATTCACTCCAAGAATCGTATAAAACCAG